CTGGTTTTTGGAGTTGTTGGAAGGTTGTTCCTCGGTGCCCTTGTTGTGGTCGGGAGACCCTCTCTGTTTCTCCGGATTTTGGCGGTCTGTCTAGTTGTCCCAGTTCTGTCCTCGTTGCCTCTTTGGGTCGGGAGACTGTAGCAGCAACTATCACCTTTTTGAACTCACTTTTCGGTTGTTCCTAATTTCACTTTGCCGAACTTTCGGACGTCGCGGGTACGGGATCACTTTGCCGGATGTACGCTTGCAAAACAGGAAACTCACCGAAAATCCGTCACGACTGCGCCAGTTTTGTTTTAAGTCCTCCGAAAGTTGTTTTTAAAAATTTATTTTAAAAAACGTTGTGGGGACTGAGAAGGTTACCAAGCTTTTTTCGTGAGTTCAAAGTTATTTATTTATCTAGTACATCAATACTCAATACAAGTGGAAAATGTTACTAGGTAAAATGGGTTGTAGGTTCTTACGTCTAGATGGTAGACGCGCTGGTAACAATCTAAAGATTTATAATTAAAAAGAACAATAAGAAAACTTAAATGCTAACTATGCAAAAGCAGTTTCCAGTTCAGACTTGTTATCAAGGCTCCAACGTGAGAGCAGACCTATGTCAGCACTTTTTTATATAGATTACAACAATGTAGCCTGGATAACTCCCATTTGTAATGAACGCTGTATGCATGTGTGAATATGTATGTAAGTATGAATGAACAGTTGGTGCACCGGATGTGACTGACCATATTTTAAAGTTCGCCCCCCGCGGTCACGCAGGCGGATCCTAGTGTGAAACAATACGTTCTCATTTAAACACGTGTTTACCAAAGCTTCTACTCCACTCTATATTGTTATACAGAGGTCAGTCGAAAATTTCAGGAGCCCTGAAACACATGAAGGAGGAAATTCGTACTTTTGCCTCATCGTAAAGTAGGCGGCAGTCGCGCATCGTCTGCGGGTGCAACTTGATACTGTGCAATTCTATCGCGGCCATCAGCTAAATAATAAGTCAATTATTTATGATGTGCATGAAACATATACATAAAATATAAATGATATTAAATAATAAACAATTTAGATCAGACCCCTTTTTCCTAACATTTGTATTTGTCATCAAGTATATCGAAAATCTAACTTCGCTCAGTTGAGGCGTCGAATATGGTAATGATCGCCAAGGCTCTCTTTTTAAACTTTTCTCTACTCAATATGCAGAAATGTCCAACAAAAATTCATAGTCATTCGTACCTGTTGTCTTTGACTCTAATGTTCATGCATAAATGTACATTCTTCCCTTCCGTACCAGTATTTTTGTTTTACTTTTATTTATTTTTATAGAATACTGTTTTGTCAACACCGCTTCCATTTTATTTAAAGCTATCTCTAACTCCTCCTTGCTAGATGCTAATACTGCTGTATCAGCATACTAAGCATACTAATCTTTTGTCCTTGTATATCTATCCCTACAGTGTACTGTCTTTAATGATGTTGATCGCGTCTTCAATATATAGATTAAAAAGTAGCGGTGACAGTGTGCATCCCTGTCTGACTCCCTTCCTATTATATGGTATATAGATATAAGGAAACAATTCCAACAAATAAATGTTTAATTTCTATGTGTGGTGAACTTTTCGCCTTATCACTAATATATTACACGTAGTGTATGTATTAACTGCGCGAATTGTGCATTATTCCCAAAACTGAAGTACAGTTAAGTCACCATGGACTTGTTATGGTCACCTATCAATTCGAGTTAAGGCCAGGTGCAAATAAAAAAATAAAAGTTGGCTCAGGGGGTAACGGCCGGCAATTTGGCGATCGCGGTATCAATTAAAGGCGGTCGTGGCGAAATCACGTACACCTTATTAGCCATACTTACCAGTTTGCTTATAGTGTGATCGTGATTCTTGTTGAGATTCGCCCAGCACGTTCGTCACTCACGTGCTCCGCAGGTGATACCGTGCTATTAGATGAACAAGATATATGTATGTATGTATGTACCATTGCCAAAAAGAGACAAAACGAGCGTTCGTGAGCATCATATGATTTATTTGAAAATACAAAATATTTTTATCTTGCATTTAAATACTTTTTTGAGAAAAGCATTTTGTGTTTAATTTAAAATACTTTTCTAATCGTATTTTCTATTTGTAAAATGCAAAACAAATTTTTGACGTTCAAAGTCTTGCTAGTATCAGCGATCAAGCATTATATAAAATAATGAATGAAAGTTGCTTACATTATTGGCCATTGAAGGTATTAGAAGCTTAAAAAGGGACAAAGAGACACTCCATGTACGCCGTCTAATTCTTTAACTGAAGAAAACCGAAAAAATTCTAAACTCCTTGGAAGTGGATAATCTAAAATATTTGATCGATTTGATTTCCGGGTTCAATGTCATGGTCCACCGAATTTTGTTCCAAATTGATATCGTTCTCCTATTACAATGTGTAAAAGATCAAAAACAAAATGGGGTTGTAAACATTTTGATATAAAATGATTGATGTTATTTGCAACCCCTTTGGCTCTGACCTTTCATGCTAAACAAACTATTTTGGCATCAATGTCTTTTTTCCAATTAAAACGGGTGACAAAGGCAAATAAGGAAGTATACAAAAGAATTATTTGTTGCTGAACTGAAGAAATTATAACATAAAGACAGAAAAACTATATCTTAATAACTTCAAACAAAAAAATATGTATCATACTCAATCTTCGCAGCTGGTGATATAGTGCAAACACCTATTAGTCTAGAAAAACTTCAATATTTAAAAAATGAGCAAATGCCTGCAATGTTTTCTTAAAAAATGTTTTATACTTAAGTAAACGTAGAAAATTAGATAGGTACTACAAAAAAGTATTTATTTGAAAAAAGTATTTTGAAAATATGTATTTTGCATTTTTAGCATTTAAAATACACAGACCGTACAGTTTCATCTCTATTGATAGCACAACCAATCCTGCATGCTTTTCTTAGGCTATAGATCGGCAATAGTTTTTAAAACTTCTTTCAATATTTGCACGCACCTAGAGCCCGGCCCTGCATAAGATAAGCTGATATTGTTTACAATGACGATGTCTCACCACTAGTACTATTACTGATTTTGAATTGCTGTTGTCGGTGGGGTAGGAGATAATAAGCTGAATTAGTGTTATTAGATTTTATTTTATCAAAATCTAAAACTAGGACTATTACACTTGCATTAGCAAAACTATGTTTGCATAGTACTTAAATTAATTACGAGGGTCTTAAATTAGGGTGTAAGATAAGAAGTCGAAATAGCTTTTGAGACTTAAATTCACTTCTTTTTTGGTTCCACCCCAATTCTATTTTCTAGGACATTCCGTGAAGTGAGCTATGCTCAAAAGTAATTTACATGTAGTGAGGAAAATATAGTTTTATTTAAATCGTTAGAGGAATTAAACACAATCCCCATTTGGATTTCAAACATTAATTAGCACCCTTTCTCGCAAACATTGTACCAGGCTTATTTCCGCTTTTGATGGAAATTAATGTATTAATGGGAAAACAAAGGCGTCGCCTTTTCCTCGAATTTTGCGATGGACCTCCTATGTCGAAATAACGACCGATTCCTCATTCCTATTCAGTTTCTTCAGAAATTTAGGACCATTCCGTAGCGTTTTCGACGACCGGAGTGCCAATAATAACAATAACGTCCATCCATCTGTAGATAAATCGCCGCGGCCACATAGTAATATCTCGTTCCGTTCTTTTAAAGTTCTTAAATTATTTATGCAGTGTGACTTCGCCCATTTGTAATGAACGCTGTATGCATGTGTGAATATGTATGTAAGTATGAATGAACAGTTGGTGCACCGGATGTGACTGACCATATTTTAAAGTTCGCCCCCCGCGGTCACGCAGGCGGATCCTAGTGTGAAACAATACGTTCTCATTTAAACACGTGTTTACCAAAGCTTCTACTCCACTCTATATTGTTATACAGAGGTCAGTCGAAAATTTCAGGAGCCCTGAAACACATGAAGGAGGAAATTCGTACTTTTGCCTCATCGTAAAGTAGGCGGCAGTCGCGCATCGTCTGCGGGTGCAACTTGATACTGTGCAATTCTATCGCGGCCATCAGCTAAATAATAAGTCAATTATTTATGATGTGCATGAAACATATACATAAAATATAAATGATATTAAATAATAAACAATTTAGATCAGACCCCTTTTTCCTAACATTTGTATTTGTCATCAAGTATATCGAAAATCTAACTTCGCTCAGTTGAGGCGTCGAATATGGTAATGATCGCCAAGGCTCTCTTTTTAAACTTTTCTCTACTCAATATGCAGAAATGTCCAACAAAAATTCATAGTCATTCGTACCTGTTGTCTTTGACTCTAATGTTCATGCATAAATGTACATACTAAATTAAGGCGAATCCAATGTTTACATAAGTATGTGATGATATGCATTAAATGCATTATGTCTATAGCTATTTAAAGTAGTTTATATTTTTACTCATTTATTTATATTTATTTGAATGTTTATTAAAAAATGTTATTTGATTTATTTGAAATTTTAGCATCGTTACTTTCTTAATGCGAATGGCAAATCATTTATTTATAAAATATAAAATAATACTTAAAAAAAAATTTAACTAATCCTAAGTTTTATCTTTTCAGGCTTTTATCTGTAAAGTTCAAAATCAGTCTGCAAAGTTCTAAGACCTGCAAACCACTCTACACACATGTAAGATGGGTTATCTATATTGTAGAAGTAATTGAAAATCAATTAATTTTGTAAAGAGAAATCGTTTGAAAATTATAAGATGGTCATTTAGATATTATATTTCATTTCAATCTTGGAACATCTTTCTGGAAATAAGATTTATCTCCTGGCATATACTAATAATTTTTAAACGTTTCAATAAACTGTTTAGAAATTGTCCTTATAGATGCTATTTTTTTTAAATGATTTAATAAAATTTATTGTCCAGTGATTATTCTTTTTATTGTTATTTTTTAATTGAAAGAAAACAAGTAATTAAACTGTTGCATTCTATTAAATCAAATTTACTTATATACACTTTTATAGTACAAATTCAAAATAAATCAGTATTCAAAAATAATACCCTCTATATCTTAAATGATTTCATAATTTTTTAAAACTTAATAAGATACTTTACATCTGCATTTTATTAATATCATTTGCTAGCTGCTCTTTACCGAATAAATTACCCACAAAAGGCACTACTCCAAGAAGTACATAGTTAACGAAAGAAAAGGTAACTTACAATGAACTATTTAGCTAATAAAAATGTTGGAAAGACAATTATACTATGAATACATTAGTTTTATGTATTAATATAAACTTATTTTTGTATCTGAAACGGTAATAAACAACAACACATAGTAATTTCAAATGTTTATAATAGTTAAAACTATTTTAGAAGGCGTACAGTTGTTCTGGTAACCAGTTTGTTGCAAAGTACCAAATGAACTTTCATCAAAAAGTTAACAGTACATGAGATTTATGGTGTGATATACATATTTATCTACACAAACAAGCATTCATTTTAATTAATGATTTCAGACTTCTTTAGTGTATTTATTAATGCAGGTATTACATTTAGTTTATGTGTTTTTATTATGAAGTTATTTAAAAGAAAGAACATTGTCCAGATCAAAATGTAGTGACCAAGTACCACCTCATGGTGGATTGAAGTACATTTTAACTCATTACTATGCCTTAAATCAGGAATCCATAGTATAATAAGAATACTCTTAAAATAAGATTTAACTTTGAAAGAGAATCTATGTACTAATGATTTAATTCAAACACAAGTTGCAACTTAAAACCATATCAATAGATCATCATGTAAGGAAGGGCATAAAGAAATCTGTGGGTAAATGCCTACTTGTAGAGGGAATTGATTCTAAAGGTAGATTTGCAACAAACTCATATGCTCAACTACTTAACAGTATAATGACATGTGTTCCATTGGCAGTATTTGCAGGTCGGTTAGATTGTAATTCCTGCTATTCATTATTAACATCATTAGAAAGATATCAGCAAAGCACATTCTGTTATTAATGCACATTGTTGCTCACTTCCTCTTTACATGTCAATCTTGGTAGTCTTCTTTACTTGCTTTTTGTACTTCCTAGAACAAATTAGAAGATAATTACTTTACATGTACCTTTCGATGCATAGGTGGTTTACATATCACAGTCCTTTTGGTCCCATTTGAAAGTTATGCTTTCTATCAGTAGTATCTGTTGTGTAGTTTTATCAGATGGTTTAATTATATTTTAACAAACATTCAGGACTGAAAGGTAATTGCTGAAAATAAAATAAATTAATAAATGAATGTTAACCCAGTAGAAACGTTAAATATATTATACTTTTTACACTTACTGCAGTAAATCAAAATGTAAATATAACCTTTATTTAAACTATCAATGAATTCATTCGAACATAATGAATGACGCTCAAGTTAAGTAAAATTTAATAAAAACACCGAAATATGTTAAGGACAGCACTTATTTCTGTTTATTTCTTCATTATTCTTTAGTTTTAAGATTGTACCACTTACAAACAACATAAAAGCATAACCCGATTGCCGTTGTTTTAATTAAAGAAACAGAATTATACAAAAATGTATGATTTATGTTTAATTTGTGACAGAGCTAATTTAGTAGCCTAAAACTTTAAGTATATAATTATCTACATTTTAGTGTTATTTAGTTATTAATTACATTTTTAAACATTTTCCTAATTAAATTAGATAAGGTGTTATGTAACCACTTCCAGCGAAAGTTACTAAAAGTTACTAGAAGTTACTACAAAAGTAACCAAAAAACCAAAGGTGTGTTCAGACGAAAGGTGTAAGAAATTTTATATTTCCCAAGCTCTTTATGCTCTCCTAGTACAAAAATCGAAAATTTTAACTTCGCGTTTGGAAATTTAAACGTGTCCGGCGCCTTCGCCAAAATTTAACACATGAACGTAGGGAAATGGAATTGTATCAAAGGTTGCCTATGCGTAACTAAGGAGTTTATTAATTAAAAACCCACTTATTTAAACAAAATTAAATGTGAGAATAACGTCCTAATGGATAGTTAATATTTTTTTTAAATTGCTGAAGGAAATTAATTATTATCCAGTGATTATTCTTGTTATTAATAATATTTATTAGATTAATGTCAAAACAAGAAATTAAGCTGCTGTATTTTATTGAAACAAATTTATTGTAACTTTTACAGTACAAATTCAAGATAAGTCTGCAAATAATTTCCTCACAAGTGAAACCTTTAATATCTTAAATCACAATTTCTAAATTTTTAAATGTGACTAGGATACTTAAAAGTTGTAACATTTATCAGTTACTTTTTACCGAATCAATTACAGAAAAAGGACTACTTCAAAAAGTATCTACCAAATAAAACGAAGGATAACTTACAATAAACTATTTAGCTAATAAA